TAACCATTAAAAAATGAAAACAATCCACTGACCAACAACTTTTATCAATATACAACTTACAACTCACTAATGACAAGTAAACAATGAAAAAGACAGAATATATGAAGACACTTTTAAACAAATAACCAATAAGCTCATGAAATAACCTCAATATTATTAGTCATCATAAAATGAAAATTAAAGCATATCTGAGTTATCACTGTTCATTATCACACTCATCAGAATGAGTTTTCACACTCAGTGGGTTGACTAAAATTAAAAGACTAACCCTATCAAGTGTTGGTGAAAGTATGAAAAATGTACTCACAGAGTGTTGGTGGGAATGTAAAGTGGTTCAAGCACTTTGAAAAAAAAAAAACATGTTTGCCATATGACTCAATAACTGCACTTCTAGTATTGAACTGAGAATGGAAAACATGTTCTTACAAAGACTTGTACACAAATGACCATAGCAACTCTATTCATAGTAGTTTAAACTGGAAACAGTTTTAAAAAGCAAGTCAAAGGATAAACAAATTGTAGTTCATTTTATGGATGAGGATGATGGAATGATACTCAACAAGAAAAATAAATGGGCTAATAGCTACAACTACATGGGCATATACACAGTGGAAGGCCATTGAAATGAAATTCTAGAAAAGATAAATCTAATCTGTATGTGACAGAATGCACTGATTGCTTGAGTGGAAGGGTGGATCTGATTGGGAAAGGTCACAAGAAATATTTCTGGGGTAATATAAATGTTGTAGACCTTGATTATGGTAGTAACTGCATGGTCAAAATTCATCTAAATATACACTTAAATAGGCAAATTTTATTATAGATAAGCTAGGCTCAATAACATTGAATAGCATTTAAAAAAATATGACAGTGTTTATATTACCATTTGTAGTTTATAGAACTCCTTCACATTACATTATGTTTTTAACTCCAGGCATGTAGAGGTGGGGATGAACAGGTGGCTTTATTGCTATTATGCTGTTTCCATTGATCTAGGAAGGTGTTCTGGGGAAGAAATGGTGGCAGGGAAGGGGTGTGTATGTTTGTGTGTGTATGTTCATGCACACTCATGCACGCATGTGAGGTAGTATAGGTACCTAAAGTGTCTTCCTTCTGTGTTTATGTTCTTGAGCAGGGCACCCTGACACCCACAGAAGTAATGGTTATCTTCATCATCATCTTCACTCAAACCACATTTCACCAAGAGCATCCACCTTATGGACTTTTAATAATGGGTTAAAGTTGAAAGTATACATGATGTGTTTAGGACAGTAAGCCCAGCAGTCAGTAAACACACAGTAAGTGGTAATGACTACCCCTAACGTGATGTCACTCATTATAATTCAGTGTCTTTGTAGATGAAACACTGAAAGCAAAACCTATGTTTCAGGGTCTTTGTGTGAATCAGATGAGCCCAGATGAAATAATGTATATGAAAGCTCTAGCACTAGGAGCCCCTGTTGGGCCCCGGCAGGTCTGGTCAGGGAGTCAGAAGGATCCCGTGTAAGGACACAGTCTCTTCCCTAGCTGAGAGGTATGTGTTTGATGGTAAGAGCTCTGCTCTGGACTCCCCCACATGGCTGACTATTCACCTTGTGCATACCTGGTGGACCCCCAAACTTGAAGTCCTCCTCTAAGAAAAATTAGGGAGTCCTGCCCATATGCTCCCATCTTGATCTCATACATCCTTTGCCTGGTTTGTTGGGTGATTTGGAAGAAACCCAAAGAGGAAACTACTCGAACCAAGTCTGAGTCCTCCTTTCTTTCCAGCCCTTTGTGGGGGAGCCTTGTTCAAGAACTAATGAATTGCCTTCATTCTCCCTTGCTAACATTAGTGTCCAGCATTTGACAACATCTTGCCCCCTCCTTCCCTGTCTGGGAAGAGCCTACACTCCAGAACATGAGAACATAATTTAATTGCTGCTACTCTAAATTTTCTTTGCTTAATGTGTTGTAAAGTAATTCAATTACCAGCGTCAGACAGGTAGAAGACTTTCTCTGTCTATTCATTCACTTAGAAGGGAAAGACAAAGCTGAATTTCCAAGTCAATCTAAAATGGAGTGTGGCTACACAACAATTTCCAGATAAGGCTCTTATTCATTATGCAAACAAAGAAAGCCCAACCTCGATGAGTTAGAAGAGGAAGAAGAAAAAGACCCCAATTTAGAAACATACCGTGATTCACTCCCAAAAGAAAGGCAACACAAATAGCTTTGTAACAATATAAAAGTATTTGCACAGATCACATCCCTAATTACTTTTATGAGTTTAAAAGCTTGCCTTACTCATGACAGGCATTATGACAAAGATGAAATAAAATACAGTTCTTTAAAAAGTCTAACTCTATGACTATAATCCCATTCAATATAATATGGTAATATTATAGATTTTCAAGTATTTTAAAAGTGTAAAATATATCCCACTAGACAAGCCGCAAACATTAAGAAACTCTGCAAAATATAAAGAAAATTTCCCACCCCCTGAACTCTTTTACATTGATTTAGAGTTTTCTCTTACATTTTGTGGAAACTCTAAAATCATAATTGGCAAACTCTTTCTGTTAGACATGGTTTCTTCCTGCTTTCCCCTCTTGCTTATTTTCTATTATATGTGATTATAATTGTCTTGAGAAAAGTCCATAAAAGATTGATGAGAAAAATATGCTTTTTTAAAATGATCACTATGAACAAAATACACTTAGGTGTAAATAGTTAATAAATACCCTGTTTCAGATTAAATGGGTTCATCCCTGTGTTCAGTAAAGCAGAGGGGGCACTAAATACCAGGGAGCAGACAGAAATGCTTTAGGCTGCCACAGTGCCAGTGTAGATTTCAAATATGGACTTTGTCATTCTTCCTTTATTTGGACTGCAGAATGAACTGCAAGTCTTAATGCCAGCTGACAACTACACGGGACTAACCCACTAAGTGTCAACCTCTGTCAACATGTCACACACAAAAACTAGTAGGTTGCATAATTCAGGTCTGTATCCTCATGCTAAAGCTCCTGTTTCTAGCACTTTTGATTACACCCTGTAAGATATTGGTTCTTTTCTCTTTGTACTCTAATTTTTGAGACTGGGTCAGGGTTAACAAAAATAAAAGGAGTTCTCATCTATGAAAATGTTTGCTCCATGAACTTGGAAGGAAAAAAAATGGGTATAGATTTCAAGGATGATATCTAAGAATATAAGGCATTGAGCATCAAAGATATTTTTATGCATCCAATGAAGGATGGATAAAGAAATCTGAGAAACCAATGTTACCCAATTTAGGATTACCAAAGGTGCCCAACTATTGTTATCCTCTAACATAATTTCTTTATGTAGTTTAGAAAAAATTTAAGATGCCTAAGAAAATGGGTTTACTGTTATACCTGATCGTGAGCACAATGTGTGCCAGTGAACACAATAACATTTTACATTTTTTTGAGGGTCTACTGTGCTTGGGGTACTGTCCAGGGTGCTGGGTCAACAGCAGAGACCCAGACAAAGTATCTTTCTGAAGCTTCACTCAACTAGGTGGAGAGTTGCAGGCAGTTACATTGATAAATGTACACTTATGACGCTATGTGCCATGGAACCAAATATTATGGGGGAAGGCAAGGGGAATACAGGAAGTATGAAGGGAGGTTGCTATTTTAGTTAGGATGTCAGGAAAGGGCTCTCTGAGGAGATGCGCTTTGTATAGTCTGGAAGGCAGTGAGATCCAAGGAATGGGAATAGCAATTGGAAAGGCCTGGAGGCTAGAGATCACTTGAGTTGTTTACAAAACACCAGGGAGGCAGTGTGGCTTGAAAGGAGCAACTGAAAGGGAACACAGAAGGGCATGAGTTCTGAGAGAGTGTGAGTGAGAGTGGGCCCCATCTAGAGGTCTGTCCTAAAGCTTTCACTCAGAGTGAGGTTGCCAGCCAGCAAAGGGTTACCTGGAGAAGGACAGGTGCCGATTTTATATTCAAAGGGACAGTCTGACTTTTATGTGGCAAAATAGGTTACAAGTTATGGCCATCACAATAAACAGGATCAGAAATATGTTGGGTTGGGTCAGGGTGATGGAGACAGGAGAAAATAAAATGGTCTGATTTTAAATTTGTTTTAAGGAAAAAAAAAGTTATAGGAATTGCTGATAGTTTGGAAATGGGGTAGGAGACACAGAAACAGGGCAAGGATGACCTGAAGTTTTTGGTTTTATTCATAAGATGTCTTTAACGGCAGTACTTTCTTTTCTTTATCTCCCCCACCCTCTCAAGATTCTTAGTCTTCTACCTTAAAGGCAAGCATGAATAAAAGGCCTAGAGAAACTAAACCTTTGGCAGTTGTTCTATTAGGAAGATGATGGACAGAGTACATCTACTGCCTAGAAATAAATCCAGTTTGCATTTAATTCATTTGAGAAATTGTTCTTGAACAGTTACCCTTGTATACACTCTACATGTAATGCTGACAAGTTCAATTTTGCTTGGGTTAATGGCCACATAAATGTCTTTTATACAAGTTAAGGTTGCTTGGAGGCAGCAATGATTTCTCATTTTTTCCCCCGATGTTTTGCATTGCCAGATAGGCTTTTTTTTTTCTTTCTTTCTTTCTTTTTTTTTTTCAAATTTGCTGTTTAAGATCTAGCCTCCCCTTCTTACTAACATACTGGCGGGTAAATCTAATTAACATTAATGAGAGTTCTGTGCACATATTGACAGGATAATAGACCTTTTAGGATGGTTCCTCCCCTCTTGCACTAACACTCCTCCACTGCATACTAGCTGATTATTTCATTAGACAGCAATATAAACCCATGCAGGAGAATACATACTTGGTGGAAATTAAATGGAAAAATCTGCATTCCTCCACACTTTCCCTTGCATTAGGGTCAGGAGAGTGGAGGATGGGCACCTCACAGCCACCAGAGAATCTAGTTCTCTTGAGAAAAAAGCTTTTACAAAGATTATTTTCTCAGTCTACTCAGAGTTATGTGCTTATCTATGGCTGTTTTTTTAAATTGACAGTGTCAATTACATCAGATTCTTACTGTAAGCAAATTGATAGAGACTGGAGAAGAGGATCAATAAGGCCCAGGTAACTTCTTAGTCTTTGTACATAAGTTAACAAAAGGATGAGATGCATTATAAAACTATGAAATTGTAACAGGCAAAATTAATATGGGTTCTAGAAATAAAATTTGAATATGAGATTTGCTTTTATAAGATAAACATTTACTGGCTGCCTGTATCAGCTGATAAAAATGTCTAAGCCTTTCCTATTCTTAAAGTTACAAGAAACTGAATTCACTTTATATTGGTTTATCCTATTTAAATGTTCTACATATGATTAATAGAAGCATTGTATTCTCTTTGCTCTTCCCTGCAAATTGAATTTGCCAAATGAAGAACTTCAACTTCATATTCCACTTCAGAGCTAAGTGTATTTGTAGCATTCATAGAAGCTGGAATCAAGAGTGGTGCTGGTTGTATTTTTCAAACTCCAATTACCAAATAAAACTCTGCCTCCCTGAGCTCTTAGCTCTTATGAGAGTGAGTGTTCACTTTCCTTTAATAAGGCTGGCTCAGAAAAGAAGCTGGAGGTGTGAATTTATTTTTTTCCATTTCCCTTCCAAAACTTGAGAGGTTGTGAGTTTTGTGGAAAAAAAGTGTAATATAGTAGACATATTGAAAGCTGGCAGGTTTGTTTGAATCTAAACTTTTCCTCTTTTGGGTGGCATCGGTTAAATCCATCAGTTAAGAGAGCTTGACCCATTTAACCATGCAACAGCTAAACCCTTAATCCTAACAGATTCATTTTACAGTTCAGATTTGGCCACTGATACTGCACTAATTCAGACTCAAAGGTCAACATGTTACAGCAAAAAGAGCTTTTTTTTTTTTTCCTCTGAGAACTTCAGGTGCAAAGACTTCTCTATCAAAATGGGTGCAAATGTCTCTAAGAAATTATTATTTTTAATTCTAGTTATTGATTTAATTTTGCTGTAAATATCATAATATTTTCTAAATATGCAAGATGTGTAACACTCTAAGAAGGAAATAGTAATATCATTAAACATTTTCACTGCTTTATTTTATCAACAATCTTTAAAAATATGAATGAGTGAATAAAAAAGTAAATGGAATAATGGAAACAGATCATAGAAATACTAGTGCTCACACATATTTTTGAATAATACTCATGGGTCTAGGAAAATCTCGTTTGTGGATCATAAAACTTGGCTATTAAATCAGGAAGTTTGCCTTCTGTAATGAAAAAGTTTTTCCATAGAATACATATACTCAATTCTTTTTTAAAATAGCAGAATGGACTCTGACATAAGTGGACAGCAATACTCCCCGCTGTGTCTATCAATTTATCATTCTAAAAACAAGTTCACACAATTTCAAGTGATTCTCACAACATATTCATGTCCACAGCCTCTGTTCCTGACACATAGTAAGCACCTAGTAAATTCTTGTAAAAATAATCATGCTGCAGTTAAAAGAGTGATTATGAAGTCCATTTTATAGATAAGACATTGAAACCTGGAGCACCTTACTGAATTTTCTTAAGTCTGAACATAGTAAGTGATTTGCACAGATTTGAATTCAGTGTTTCTGAGCAACCCGTGTTTATGACACTGAGTATAAAATTAAAGAATTTAAGTTAGAGTCAAATATGCTCCTCCACATAAATTAGACATATGAACCATGGGATGGTTTTTATATGACATTTTCTTGACTTGATGATCCTTTTTTATACCTACAGTTTTCCCAGAGTCCGCTCGGAATAAATTGCACGTATATATAAAAAATTTCTTTATAAAATACTATTCATTTAGGCTAGAGTTCCATTCATCTTTTCATACTGTATTTGTATATTTTACAAACTCCTAACTATGTAAAGCCACTAGAACAAGGGCCTGGGGGACATGTAAAGATAAATTGGGCATAGACATCAGCCATACTCTTAACTCAGAGTTAAAACTACACAGTAATAACAAATATGATCTAAAGCTGAGTGTGGTAAATGTAATAAGCGAGGTTTGGACAAATTGCCACCATGTGCAGATGTGTAGGGCAAGGCTGTCAAGGGCTCAGGAAAGGTGATGAGGGAAGAGATGGCATTTTAGCCAGGTCTTAAAAGATTTGGATAAGCAGATAAGGGGAATAATCTTTTGTTCTATTAACAAAAAGTAAAAAGAAAGATAGCACCCATTTTTGGTGAGGACATACTTTTATACAGATACTTTAATACATAGTTAATGTGAGTGTAAATTAGTATAGACTTTTGGAGGAAAATTTAGCAGTAGCTTATATACATAACCTCCGGTTTAGCCATTTATTTCTAGGCATATATTCTAGAGATATGCTCATATGTGTATATGAGTGTGTGAGTGTGTTTACTGTACTCCTGCTCAGAGTGGTGAAAAATAAAAACAACCTACTGTTACCTCAGTAGGTGACAGTCAAATTATCTGAATTATTACAAGTAATGAATGTGTGTAACATGGATCAACTATAACATAAGCAGGAAAAATGCCAAGTTATAGAACAATAGAAAACCATTTGTATGTATAAAACAAAAAGCTGTCACACATACAAAACAGTGATAATCAAATGTGTATAAAGATATTCTTCCTCCAAGGAAGCACACCCATGTACTAGGTGCCTACATGAGGAGTGTGTGCTTGTGAGAATGGATACAGAGGTATAAGAAACATGTTTGATGACTTTGATGTTCTCAAAGTCATTACATTGGTCACCTTTGGGAAAGAGTCGAGAAGAACTCCTGTTTTGTCAGCTTTGGGATTTTTACAAAAACAGATATTTATGTTAATTGTAGACAAATATAAAACAACAAGTCAGGGCTCTGTCAGCATGAGAATGGAAGTTGAACTCCTTGTTTCTTAATCTGCTTGACTCCACCCTGCCTCTGCTTCCCCATAGCTCAGTGATTTTAACTAAATTACCTGATGGTTGAAACTGACCAGAGAAAGTATCTGGAAGACAATCTATAACTGAGGATAGCAGGACCAAACCATGGACAGATGACTCAGCTACATTTGGAGTTGGCGCTGTTATCCTTTAAATATTCTTATGCCAATTCACAATGCAAATGAGGAAAGAAAAATCTTTCAACCATAGTAGTGCTCCTATGTCCCCAAATGCTCGCTGCCATCTTGCTTTTTAGATGAAACCAGGAATCCTTCCGGCTTATTTACTGCTCTCCATGCTGTTCTGAATTATTTTAATTCTCCTCTTTTCGTGATTCTCAGGCAGTTTTTGACCATTTTTTTTCCTAGGAATATTTGCCATCTATGGAGCCCATTTTTAAGTCCTAACTTTAAATTAAGTTGCTTTCTCTATCCTCCTAAAGCACCACATTGCTTATCTTTCACCATTCAAACAAGCCATTCAATTTTCTCTTCTCAAATTATGTCCCTCAGAAACTCCAAAGGAAATGGTAATTTCCCTTTAATTTTATGACATTAATCTTGTTATCAGTGCGTGAATAGACGTGAAAACTCTGTTAACAATAATACATTATGTCAAATACACAACAGCGTCTTCCCTGAAATGCAATGTGTTTCAGTAACCTGGTAAGTGAACGGGGCAATTTAAAAAGAGGGCTGCAGGGAGTATTTTGCAATAAGTTTCCTACTTTGGATACAAGAGGAAGGAGGGTGGTCTTTTGTCATTAAGTGAAGTGATCACATGAAGGTTGCTATAAGACCTGGTGGCAGCAACTAATAGTAAGTGGCCCCAAGTGGGGAGTCAGGCATTGTCCTCACTTCAGAGAGGAACATAGTGGCTCTTATGTATCATTAACCATCAGTATGGCCAGTCATAGGATAGAACCAAAAAACAAGTTAATCTCATTTCAGTGATGGTTAACTTGATGGTGTCAACTTGACTGAGTGAAGGCATATTTGGATGGGTGGTAAAGCACTATTTCTGGGTGTGAGTGAGTGTTGTTTCCAGGTGAGATTAGAAAGACTGATTAAAGATTGGCTCTCACCAACGTGGGCATCATCCAATTTGCTGAGAGCCAGAATAGTACAAAAGGGGGAGGAAGGGTGATTTCTCTTTCCTCTGGAGCTGAGACATAAGGATTTCCCTGGCCTTGGACTTCAGAGCTTCAGGTAGTCGGGCATTTGGATTCCAATCCCAGTAGTTTTCAGGCCTTTGATCTTGGACTGAGAATTTCCATGGGCTCCTCTAGTTCTCAGGTATTTGGACTCAGACCACATTGTATCATCAGCTTCTCTGGGTTTCTAGCTTCTCTGTGTCCAACTGTGAGACTTCTTAACCTACATAATAAAGAAAGCCAACTCCCATATCTCTCTCTCCATCTATTACTATAAGGTTCTAGTTTTCTGGAGAATACCAATGAATGAATCCCCCCACCCCCCATACCTAGAGACAAAAAGCACTTGCTCCGTCAACAGAATTGAATGAAATTTTGAGGCATTGGGTTTATTAGAGAGCATAAGAGAGACACAGCTTGGGACTCAGAAATTTGTAGAGCATTTTATAAAGGACTGAGGTTCTGTGTGATGAGGTGGAAGGAAGTGCTATAATTTGAGTTATTATCATTGTTGTTATCCACACTACAGCCTGTGGGCCCTGGAGAAACTTGTTACACTAAATAATTGAATAATTGGGGTGATGGAGCTTGCAGAGTGTCAGCTGATCAGGCTACGAGGAAGCTGAACCACAGCTGAATATCAATTATAATGTTTTTACATATTTGTTCAATTATTTCTACAGTCTGTGAAGCAGCAGTTTTCAACACTTAACTCCAGGTTCTGTCAGGCAAAGAATTGTTGCAAGGAATCCCTAGAATCTGTTTATGCACTGAAGAAATAGATTAAATAAATGGACTTAATTAATAAAAGCTTGTATGTAACACTATACACACACACACACACACACACACACACACACACACTGAAGTAAAAATCCACCTAACACAATTACTGAATTCATAGTAAATATTTATCCCTAAGTATTTTCTTTAACCAATTAATGTTAGAAGAATAATCTTTAGCATCAGAGGAGATTTTTGACAAAATATTGAAAATCTCTGAA